TGCTACCAGTAGCGATGCCCTTTGTTCCTAGTAGCTTCTTGTTCCTAACAAAAGAAGAACACTCAACCACATGACATCAGACCATGCCTCTTCCGGCCCGCAAAGGACAGCTAAAATGTCACGCGGAGTAGGCCTCGAGTGGCCCCGAGCTCAAGGGGCGGTGGTCCTTCATCACTACATCTGCTTCTGTACCTAATAGCAGTGGCCCCCACCCTAGTAGCGATGGCCTCCCTAAGCCAATTTGAGCTCCTGTGCCATGCCCGCTTACCTTGGGCGTCTCCCGTCTCTGAGCTTCCTGGCTTCACAGCATTGAACTTTAGCCTCGAGAACCGCATCGGCACTCTTCAGGACAATCGGACGGAAGGAGCAAATATGAGCAAATAGCAGCCCAATGACTAACCCCTCAGCCGGACTATGGCACGACTGTAGATTCTGATATCACTCGGAATCAAGAGAACATCCATGAACATCCTACCGACTCCTGTTCCAAAGAACTGCGCTAGTCCTTCGATTCATTGATGGACGCCAAACTCAGGATTGACTCGACTGTTTCATGACTCGACTTTCATTCGACTCTTTACTAGGCAAACCAACTGACCGCCGACTCGAAGAGGCTCGAACTGGCCAAGATGGCGAGTTGCATTTTTTGTGTGAGGATGCCCAACTGTGTTCGACACAAAGCTTTTACTTCACACTTCCAACGGGAAAAAAAATATATATAAGTTCATGATATACCATGCTATATATATATAACTGCCCAACGCATCTGTGCTGCATCAGTGCCATAAGACCCTGGGCGACAAGAGGCGACTGCTGAGCATGGTATACTATTAGTAAATACATCAAAATGCAATTTATCAGTTTTGGCGCGACAGTTCTTCTCTTCACAACATTTCCAAGAAGGAAGAAGGCGCTGGCGAGTCGATGGTGGAGGAAGGCGGCACCTTGTAGGGGTCGATCTGCTTCCCATTCCTCAGGCTGAGGAGTGCTCACGTGCTGCTGGGGGCCTCCTCACTAACGAAATCACCAGGAACCACCAAAGGATCAAAGCGTTTCTTCATCCATCGGGCGGGTATCTCTTTGCATTGATCCCCTAAGATTCTGTGTTAATACTGAGTAGGCTGCACGCAAACTCTTGTGCGTTGTTCACTGACCCTAGCAATAACATGCAGTAACTCTGACGACCATCAGCAGCGGCATGGCGCCATCCAGTCTCACCCTAGACTTTCGGGGTGTCTCATGGGTCCCCGAAAGCGCAGTCCATTTGTCCCGTCAAATTGACTGTCTCACTCCTGATGGGCTTCGCGAGCTTTCTCGCTCTGACAGTGGCACCGGGATTCGAGAGGTTCACGTTGAACACACTCCTGGGCCATTCCACCCTCTTTTGCTCGCTTTGGGGTGTGGCACCAGAGAGCGGCCGGAATGGCTCGATTGCGATGGTGCGTTGTTCGGTTGGTGCCGAAGCGCAGCACAGTTCCATGGGAGCTCTTGAGATCATACACGTAGATCTCGGGCGAGGCTTCCTGCAAGCGAGATTCGCGCAGCAAAACCGTTCAGGATTGGCCACTGATTCTGCGTACATATAGGAGCAAGGACGCTACTAGGAACAAAGGGCATCGCTACTAGGAGCAAGGGCCTTACTACTAGAAACTATCACTCGCAGCGGACGATCACCGTGAGACGGTGTCCGCCTTGTGCTGGACACGCAGGTCTATGCACAAAAGAGCTCCCCACAAAAAACGTGCAAATGACCATCTTAGATCAACGGAAGCTTCCAGGAAGACAAGGTTCGCCCTGCTCCCTGCGTGAAAAGCTGCGCCAAAACAACACGCTTGGCATCGTCAAAGAAAGGTGCAGCGCCGACAATGCAACCTTGAGGCAACACTCTACCGCAACATCTGGGCTTTGTACTATTGAAGGAGCCTGGATGGCAGTCAGCAGTTTCCTCATTTCCGAGAAGTTGAATAGTCTCTCGAACGACCTTGTAGATGTCATGATAAGTCGTTAGGTCGAAATCGCGGTTCAACTTGTAACCATCGGCATGAAATGCGATGGCAAGCTCGTGGAAGGAGACCGAGGATGAAGTCCCAACATGCCAGCGTAGAGTACGCAAAAACATACAGCAACTCTCCCAGTCAAGCTGATCACCAGTCCAGCTCCGAGGACACGGAATATTGTTGGGGATCTTGGGCTTCCATTTGAAGTGCTGAATGATTGATCTCCAAGGCCACAATGGAAATCTAGCTTCACAATCAGCTTGAGTTATTTCAGAAGCTTGGGGTTTGGTCTCATGGATCACCGCCCTATCTGGCTGGAACGTGGGGAGCATGGAGTGCAACTCAGTCAGCCAGAGCTGGTGTTTCTTGATGGCTTGAGTGGCCTCTCGTTGTACATCAGCGAAAACGCAAGCATTCTGCAAAGCGCACTCCTTGGCAGTAGCGTCGGCCAAACGATTTTGAATCACATGTTCAAGCGTGGTTCCTCGTAGAGCAGCTAGCTCCTCATTGAGGATTTCAATCGGGATTCCATCGAAGCAGTGGGCTGGGATCCATTTGATCCTAAAAGGAGGGTCATGGACAGCTCTCCTGGCTTGTGTCAAGCGCATCAGGAACTGCCACCATGGAAAACAAACCCACTGGCGGTCTGGAATACCTCCGCTGAAAATTATATTGGCCTGCTCTACAACACTGAGGCAGTCGCAGTATATTGTAGCTGGAAAGCAGGCAATGGAACATGCGTTGATCACACCCCATAACTCAGCGACATACGCCAAAAGATTCCAGTGGAAAACCGGGCCAGAGTATCTCACTTCTCTGGCTTCATCAATGACTGCTGATGCCGCACTTGTAAGCCAGAAACAGTCGGCGAAAGCAACTGAGCCGTCCGACCAAAATCGCTCTTTGTGCTCCGCAGAAAATGAGTCAGCGATTGCAAGTTGGTCAATGTCTGAGAGTTGAAGTCGGTGCCTGGCGACGGCCTTGGGATGTGAAACATGCCCAAGAACTCCAAAGTTGGATCCAAATTCATGTAAGACTGGAGCTCCGATAGCTTCGTGGACCTTGTGGCAGGAAAGCAAGTGGTTCATGCACTCCTTGTTGTCGCCGCAAAACCTGCACAGCGAGGAGTTGACCCAGCCCGAGGCGGCAAGTCGGTCATTGGTGAGGGTGCATCCTACGAGGATGTTCTCAAGTCGAAACTCAAGTTCATGTTCGTGGGATTGTGGCTTGATAATTTGTCTCAACAAACGCGTGGTTTGTTGGAAATCGAAGACACCCGTTGGTTTCACAAAATCTTTCCGAGACTTCGGGTCGATAGAGGAGTAACAAGCATGTCTGGCAATGTTTTGAAGTGCCTTGCTGAGGCACTTAGGGGAGAGCCCGACGAACTTGATGGCAGGGCAACCACAAAACGAGATGTGAAGTTCGTCGTCATACTGGATTCCCAAAGAGTCAAAGGCTCTCTTCAGGGTGCCCGCAAGGCAGTGGTTGCCAGTGGGCGACCTCCATGTTCTGTAAAGCTGAGTCGCTGCTGCTTCTGAGTGTCTGCGCAGTCTCGAAACTTCAATAATGGTGTTGAAAGCATCGGCTAAGTGGGGGTCAGTGCGGTGCGGCTTCGCGAGAACACATTGGAGAAGTTGCTTGGACCGCCACATTGGTTGTCCAACCCACATAGTTCTAGCAATCGCATTTTGAATGGACTTGTAGGCCTGTTGAGGAATCTTGGTGCATTGGGCCCCAAAGGTGATTTGAGGGATGACCTTGGAACCAATCAAGAAACATCGAACGGTCCTACTGACAGGGAGGGCGGCAATGTTATCAAGATCTCCAAGCACTTTCTTCAACTTCGAATCCGGGAACCCAAAGTGCGACCGTTCGGAGGTGTAGATTTTTGCACCGAGGACATCGAGCTCGAGGACAACAGGGAACCCTGGAAAACAGACCTTCAGTTGCTTTCTAGCACAGGAGTCCGAGCCCCAAGCGGACGACTTACCTTCATTAAGCTTCTGTCCACTCAGAAGATCCCAAACCTTGGTGGCCTCGATAGCCTTTTGGAGCACAGCTACTTGTGTGAGTTTACACCATAAGTAGGAATCGTCTATGTATGCACGAACGCAGATCTCAGGCAAATGATCGAGCAAATGACACCAAACTTTGGTGTATGCGTTTATCGCAAGAAGGGACAATGAACACCCCTGACAAACCCCGTTGGGAGCTGTGGTGGAGAGGTTCGAGGTCCACCGCCGATAGGACAAGTGCCTGTGCAGGCCGTCGTAGATCTTGACAAAGAAAGAAACAAATCCCTTGGGCAGCCCAAATGCGAGGAAGAGGGCCGCTACAAAGTGCGGCGCAACTCTGTCGAAGGCCTTGGCTTTGTCGAGTTTGATGCCAATCAGAGTCTCCTGTTGGAGTTTGGCCTCGTCTATATCGAGCCGAAGCTGGTTAAAAAGGTCGGACATGTGCCTACCTTTGATTCCTCCTAAAATACTGCTAGGCATGATGGTCTGTTGCCAGTCTTGCAATTGAGCAAATCTGGCGCCAGTGTAGGCCAAGAGAAGTGCGGGGAGGATCGTGATTAATCTTTTATTTAAGGGCGTAGACGGCCCCGGCTTATTAAGGATGACTTGCTTAGCGCAGACAAGAGACTTCGGCAGTGGTTGGTCGGAGGATTCGATGAGGTCGAAAAAGTCAGCGCAAGGCTGCAGTTCGTCGCCAGAGAGTCTTTGCAGCTCAGTGGTGCGCCATCCGTCTAACCCGGGAGCGGCGGTGGGCTTTCTCTTTTGAATAATCTTGAAGAGATCATGTCCAGTAATCTTGGGGAGGTCAACCTCAAGCCTTTGATCTTGAATGTATGGCCAAACAGTGTCAAGCATTTTGAGAGGATGATGCCTCAAGACATTAGCACTAAAGACCTGATCCCATTCATTATTCAAAGTTGCGAGGGCCTGATTCGGCTGATAGACAACATTCTGCTCAGCATCGATGACAAGGTTGGCTGGTTCGTCTTGCTGTTTATTACGGAGATGCTGAAAAATGTAGGAACAACCACGAGAAGCGGACTGTCTGATCCGGCTTTTCCAGGCTTGGATACGCTTCAGCTTGAGGGACAACTCATGGGTTTTCAAGGATTGCTCAGCCCATCGTTTGGCGAAATGAACCTCGACCAAAGAGGGGCAGCCATTGTGGTTCCAGCACATGGGGGATTTAAGCTTCAACAGCTGATTACGCGTTTTAATGGCCGTTGACATTGTAATGAAATGATCTTGAGCCGAGCCCATGTGCCTGGAAAGACGGGTGAAAAGCTCAGTGAGGCGACCGACCAATCGTGCAAGCGCAGACCCAAAATGGTTTGCTGCACAATGCGATGGAAGTTGTTTAGGAGCAATGGTTTTCGTGATGAACACCGGCTTGTCACCTCGGGAGCGTGGTCCCTTCCCCCAAACAGCACCTTTAGCAATCATGGACTCCTGCAAGAAGTTATTAACCACAACCCATTTATGATCAGCAGTGTTGCAACTCTCAAATTCAGCTTGAAAAGAGTCCTTCCAATCGACCGCCTGATAGTGGCTGTCGGGACCACTACACCGGTCAAGAATGAGAGGCGCCGTCTTGCGAAGATGGTAACCGGTTTGGTTAATGGAGTTCCACTGAAAAACAAGCTTGATGGGACGATGTTGCTTGCTGAAGGTCTCCATGACTTCAGCACTAATCAAAGCAGCGAAAGCAATGTCATTAACCAGGATGGAGTCAATCGAAGTGCACCCCTCTCCGGGACCCGCAAAGGAGCAGTCGTTGCTAAAGGTAATTGGGCGGGTGATTTCCCCATTGTCATCCACAGTGGCAACTGGATCGTGCCAAGCTTGAAAAGTCATGGCAGAAGCAAACGCAGGGTAACTCGAGGGTGGAGCCTGGAAATCACCAGCGACAATCACCGGGATGGACCCAAACTGTGCCACAAACAAGAGAACTTCCTCGAACAGGTGATTGTTTTCGGCATGAATCTTAGGGTCCTGAGAAGCACCAGTCGCAGCGTAGATGGAAATCACCAAGGCTCTTTTACGGGGGGTAGCCTGAAGCCAGGCTGCCACCACCCTTTTGGTCTTGAAAAGCCCCTCGTAGATCCCGGTGGCATCGAATTGGGGATCGAAAGGACGGATGTATGCATCACCACCGGCAATCAAAGTGCCCCCGCATGGTGTTTTCGTCGATTTGGGCCCGTGCCACAAACCAGGGAGAAGATCACCAAAGCATGGCATGAATCCCTGGCTCTTAAAGATATGGGAAGCCGAGCGATGGTTGTTACGTCCGACCCTGGTCTCCTGAAGACACACCACATCAGCACCCCAGGATTTCCAGGTGATATCAGTCATAACCGACCCAATATTGGCGGAAATGAGAGTCATGTTCTTCTCATGAGGCCCTTCCCCCGGAAAACCGAGCGAGGCATCGAAGTCGAAAAGCTTCCAAAGATTGCATCGAGGTGGGGCAAATCGATGCCCTTGCCAGAACCCCTCCCCTTCATGGTC